TACCTCGTGCCACTCGGGGGTGTCAGAGCCAGCAGTTCGATTGAGGCCGACAGGTTCGTGAGTTGTCTGCGCCGCGGCGGGCCCCGCCCCGCCCCACCCCTTTGGCTGCACCAGGACCATAAGCCACGCACCGCGCTGGAAAATCACATTGTTTCGACTGGGTGCCTTTATCTCCCGGGGCAGGGCGGGGCGGGGCGCCCAGGGCCGCGCCCGCAGCGCGCAGCTGCCGCGGATGCCATGCCGGAGCAGGCAGGAGGAGTGCCACTGGTTGATTCCAAAAGTTTGGCCGGCGCGGCTTCGTTTTCGCGCAGCCAGTCATGCGTTCAATGTACCGAGATAGGAGAGAGAGAGGGGCTTCCCCTGTCAACAGGCCGCCGCCGCCCGCCGCCAGCCCCGGGGAATCAAAAGGTCATTTTAACTCGCTTCGGCCCGGAGGGGTCGAGTGAGTGAGCGAGCGAGAGAGAGAGAGCGAGAGAGAGAGCGGCCCCATCGAGCGCAAAGCTCGCCCACGCGGAATAAACCTCCGCCTATCGGAATATTCGAGCCATGAATATTTAAAAAGAAAGGCGCGGGGTGTGGCGGCGTGGTTGTGCGCGCACGAGCCGACGAGCGGCCGCTAGGCTGGGCTGGGCGCGGCGTGGCGGGGCGGGGCCGCTCATGAGGGACAACGGGCAGACGGCCACACGCGCCCCGAAAGAGCCGCGCGCTTCATGAAAATTTAAACAACATTGTTAACGGCGAAAACGATGCAGAGACAGCGAAGCCCCGACAGAAGAAAAACTTGTGTCGCTCATTACATGCCAGTCCTCCAACAGCAGCACGCGGGCGGCGCGAGGCGCGGCTCGGCCCCACCCCCGATAGGTATTGCCCATCAAACGCGACACCGCCACCCCGCCAGGTCCTATCACTCCTCCATCTCATTTCTTCGCCGCGTTCGTTTTTTTCGACATTTATCTCCGTGCAAATGTTTGCTGAATTACCGCGAGGGCGGAGGGCGTGTCCTGGCCGAGGCAATCCTTTGACCTCCACTCGCTGGCGCGGGCTGGCCCTCGCGGGTCCCCGCGGCCCGGCCCGCCGGCCGCCCAGCGGCCCAGCCCGGACATGTTTACTGTGCTATTACTGTCATGCGGCGGCCCACGACAACAACACGTCTTTTTATGGAAAGCGAAACAAAACAAAAAAAGGAGAAAAAGAGAAGGGAAACAAGGAAAAGAAGGGAAAGCAAAAGAGCAAGCAAAAAGCAAAAATCCTTGGCAGCGCGGACGACGCAGGCAAGGCAACATACGAAACAGAAGGACATGCCTGCGAATTACAGGGCAGAGGGAGATGGACACGGCAGATAGAGGTCCTTTTTCACCCTGTGACATGTCCCTTTTTCGGAAATTACCAATGTCCATCGCTATAATGACGGTGCCCCAGTGTGCGACCCGCGTGTCGACTTTGCTTTGGCCGCGGGCCGTGAAGTCCACGCGGCGGTTACACGCCCCGCACCGCCCCGCAACGCCCCGCCACGCCCCGCGGGTACTTGCCAGTCATTGATGTCGGTCGTAAAAAGGGGCGCTCGCTCGCGCGAGCAAAATCGATTGCGTTTTTCATATTCACTGCGTCCCCACGCCACGCCACGCCACGCCGCGTAAGTATACGGCGCACTGCGCATGTTGTGCCCGGGGCTCCGCCGGGGCTTTGTGGGGGGGATGTCTATAAGCGAGCCATTAGCCCATCACCAGCAGAGCCGGCGCTATTTCAATGGGACTGCCCACACCAACACTGACGCACGCACACACACACACACACACACACACACACACAGAGGCTCACCTCAATGCCGATGACGAAACCATTGCCGCGACTGCCACCGACCCGTGTCCCTCCCCCTGTCGGAACCTGACAGTTTTGCCCCACCGATCGTTTGTCCTTGCCGTCGATGGGTATACCTGCGCGTGGCCATGACCAATACTCTGCACGAGTGAGAAGTGAGCACTTCAAAATGCTTGCAAGGAATCGGTTCGCATTGGAAAGTATTTTTTTTTTTTTTCAGCAGCTTGCAAACTAATTCTTTGATATCAGAACACACAGTTTTCAAGGATCCTAACAGTTTGCAAGGAATTTCTTTGCAATACACAAAGCTCGAAAATTCTTTGCGACATTGGAAAGAATATAGTTTGCTGTCATAGGATCCTTGAAAAGTGCATGTTCCTTGTTGTGTTTTTAATGAGGACCAACGCCGCTCGCTTGACCCTGGGGACGGAGGGTGATCGCACTGGCATTGCCCCAGGCGCTCCCGTGCATCATGCGCAACGTGCATTAATTAGCAGATTGCAGCTTGATAGCGCAAGAAAAGTGTTGGTCCTTTGTGAGGGAAATGTTCAACAGAAGTGTAGCAATTACACATATACACATATCACTAACTATATCTACACTTGTAAATCTGCCGGTGCAAAACTAACGTGTTGAGTACGTAATGGTGTTCAACAGCCGAGTGTTTTACCGGTTATAAGAACAGAATGAGGAGACGTTTAATTTGAGTTGCAGCTTGCTTTTAGAACGGTTGGTATACTTGCGCACGAGAACTCAAAAAAGTAAATAAAGAGTTGTCAGTCTATTTATTTTGTACAAGCAAAGCCTGAGGCAATTACTTAAAATGTTGAATATTTGCTGCAAATGATGCCAATATCAACAAACGGCCCTACATATTTTGAGCTGCCTTCCGTAAACCCAGGTTTGCAATCCAGGTGAGTTAATGTCGCACAGGTGTAGGGGTGTAGGTGTGCATACACCTGAACGACATCATATACGCATATGGAGCAGGTGTGTGGATTTGAGAGGCAGAGACTCGCCAGAGACTTGTCAGAGACTTGCCAGAGGTGTGTGGATTTGAGAGGAAAATCACACCTTTAACTCCCTTCACTGTACGAATGGGCATTTTTTTCTCCCTCACGTGTACGAATGGGCATTCTTACACAAGTGTGCGACATTTGCGTGGGGCGCGGCGGGTCGGGCTGCCACTCGCCTAATAATGGCGGGGCGGACGGCAGCATATGACGGGGATGATCCTGTAATGTGTTTGACCCGCAAGCGCCCCGAGGCCCGGCCGTGGCTCCTAATTGCTGGCGCATCGGTAAGCCGATCACGCTCCGCGCACTGCGGCCGGCATCCTAATGTTGCATCTGATTGTAGAGACCGACAGACTCGCCGCGCGACCGAAAAAAAAAAGAGAAAGAAAAAGGATTCGGAGAAGCAGATTGAAAAACAAATAGGCGCGAAGAGACTGTACTTTTCA